AGAAGGGCTTCCTCACCGTTTATGTATTTTTCTGCCTTAGCCAATACCTCAACCATGCTTGCTTGAGGGTTCTTTGAAATAAAGAACATCAGATCTTTGGATTGTACGCCCAGACCAGCTATAAATGCTGTAATGACAAACTTCTCATCTGGGACATCCACTTTCAGTTACTCCAAATTGAACCGCTGGACATAAGACCTAAGGTTCTCTTAGGGTCCTTGCTTCACGTTCAATAAGTGATAGCTCGGCTTCCGGTATATTCGAGCTCCTATGAAGTGAGATACGAAGGATATAGAAAGCTCTTTAAAGGAGGAGATTGAGGCTGGGGGGAGCCTATTGAACCATGTCAGGGCTGACCCTTTTAGCGTGATGGCGAAGGCTCTATAGCGCACTGGGTCCTAGTATTCGTGGAGCTACATCTGGTTTTTATAAGTATTTAGGTGGTCCATGGGGTCCTTTGTCCCATCAAAAGCTTCTATCTACGACATTTTGAATTTTGGGGGGAGGAAAAAATGCAATACTCCTGCCGTGAATGGTGACTCAGTTTGTTGTACCAGAGCATCCATTGTAACTGGAACCTTGTTCTTCACAACTTCCTTCATATGGCTGAGCTCTTGCTGGATGCCATTAAAGCGTTGCTTCCAGTATTGTTTTCTCCTCTCCTGTTGATAGGGGAGAAAATCATTCCTTCCTTCCTCAACATTTTGACTTTGCACCTCTTCGTTGCGTCCATTCCTTGGGGGTGGATGAGGATCCTGTTCCCAAGTATGACTGTTTTCCTCTCCTTCACAAACTTCTCTAAGGGGGTCGAGATGTTGTTGCTCTCTGTGTGGGGGGTTATTCTGGCCTTCTTGGGCCGATCGTGCCTCTTCAGGGCGTTGTAAGAGCTTCAAGAGCTCTTCATTCTACTGTATCAGACGTTGATTAACTAGATGAAGAGCCCTCAACTTATTATTTGCGTGGGGATTCCCCATGGGGGGATTTGCCCTGGGACGTTTTCAGGCTGTGTATCATTGGTGGCTTCTTGTTGTTCTTGCATCCATGGTAGATTGTTCTGGCTTCTGCTTATGTTACGGGTTGAAACCATCAGTCATTGAAAGATCAACGTATTTGTTACAGAAACAATCGTTCCCACAGACGGCACCAAACTGACGGTGTATATCAATGTGATGTAAATTTATGGTAATGAGCAGATGGAATGATCAGTATCTGACTATTAGGATTTGAGCTACAAGGCTCAAAAGAGTAATCGATGGGAAATTGGGGGATTGACGCAAATAGAATTATAGTGATTCACTAGCTTGGGAGCTCGACTAATCCACTCTTTAATGGAGTCTTTTGCTCATTTTCTCTTTATTCCTCTGTCAGAAGGTTTACAAGATAGAGTATATGTTATTAGGGTCCTTTCTCCTGCTTTGGGAGAGTTACATGATATTTATAGGGCCTCTCGGATCTGCATCGAGATCCTTGCTATTTATCCGAAGAACTCTCCTTAATCTTAGGAGAAGATCTTGGCTGGTTAAGGATTTTGTGCCTTGAATATAGCTCTTTGCCACCTAGTAGATTTCTATTACCCTCAAGCTGTTTCCTTATCACTTCCGCTGTTGGAGCGCCTGGGGGGGGGGGGGGGGGAGCTCTTAGCTCTGACCTTTACTCTGCGTGTCTTTCCTGACTTCTTTTTCAGACCTGCTCGTCCGACCTCTTGGTCTGACCTCCCGATCCGACCTCATGCTTGGAAATTACTCTGAGTACTATCCGCATCTATTCTACAACAACATGAGTGATTTCTTCTTGTACCACATGGCTTTAATTTCAATTGCAATGTTCATCACACATTTCTATTGGGTGGAATGAGCTTCTTGTCATCAAGGACAAATACTTCAAAGTATATATTAAGTTATTAAGTCCAAACTAATTGGAAATTTTTTTTTAATAACACCATTACCCTTTTAAATCAAATTAAGTCTCCGGCTGAACTCAACCCTCTTGAATAACATGCGTCCCCTCTCTTGCTCTCTTCTAATGACTTCACTGACACATATTAAGGCTCCATTGTTTACTGTGTTGGGAAAAATGGCGCATTTAAGCTTAATGGTAGTGTTTGGACGTAATGTCCTCCTATGATTCAGAGAAGAGACGACCTTGCCTTAGCGGCTTGCGAATTGTAGCTCATTCTCCTACACATTGCCATGGCGTGTTTAAGCTAGATGATATATTCGTTTGGAGCTCATTCTCCTACTAATTGCTGGGCGTTTCCAGTTGACTATATTGCCCATTGATTAATCCAATCTATACTCATATTTGTTTAACTCATAAGGAAAATGTACAAATGACATTTGCCTCATTAATTCAAGTATAACTTGACCAAAACCCACCTCTCATGGATTTGATAGAAACCCACATTCAAGGGTTTAAAGTGTTTGGCCAACTACAGGCTGTGACTACTATCCATGGCTTAAAAAAGTCATCTAAACAAGAGTTTTGGGATCTATTTGACTATTTTTTCTAAACCCATCTTCCTAAACCCCGATACACACATACCAAATAGCCCCATAGGTCAATGGTGATCCAATGTCATAACTCTTATGGTGAAGTGCCTGCACTCTGCTTTTTGAGTATGAATTTTATATCTTAATCATACAATGCATTTTAAAGTTGCCACGCCTTGTCCAAAACAGATGACTCACTTTTTTTCTTGCGACGATGGATTGAATTCATAATTACATAATGGATAGGAAATTACAATGTGTGTTGCCTTGTTTCTGCCTCTTAACACAACTTATAATGGAGATTCACTTCTATACACCATTAACTGCCCAATCATCTCAAATACAATCCATATCTTTTAGTAAATTTGTATCTGTCACTGCACTAATTTACAATAAATTATGATTCTCGCTCTACACTCCATAAAGTAGTGAAGAGGGATTAGTTGACAACATCAAGGCCTACATTCCGAGATTTCAGAATTGTGTAAGAAATATAGAGACTAGAAGCAACCAAAAAAAAAACAAAGATGATGCTAAAAATGAATTTTATTACTCAAAGAAGAACTAAAGCAAAACTAGGATTACACAAATTATAAATACTAAAAGTTTTCCTAAAAGATCTCAACCAACACCAACTTGTTTATGAGATTATTAGCCTAAATAAAAAGGAAGACAATCAGTATTCCTAAATAAATGGAATGCTTAAAACAAATTAGACTTATTCAACAAAGACTAATTCAACAGCTTCTAACTTCTAAGATATGACAACTGTAAGTTTCACTAATTTGCAACACTCCCCCTCAGTGCAAACTTACTGTCGACAATACCAAGAGCACTTCGAAATACTTCAAACTTTGCTTTGCCAAGCGCTTTGGTAAATATATCAGCAACTTGATCATCAATTTGAATTTTCTACAGCTGAATATCCTAAATCAAAACCTTCTCTCGAACAAAATGATAATGTGTTGCAATGTGTTTTGTGCGGGCATGGAACACTGGATTTCCAGCAAGCTTAATTGCACTTTCATTGTCACAATGAATAGGGATTGGGTAATCCAAGGAAGAAAGCATTTCTTGAATAAGTCTCTTAAGCCAGATACACTATTGAGTGGCCATAATAGCTGCAACATACTCGGCTTCACAACTGGAAAAAGCAACAGTAGTTTGTTTCTTGCTGCACCACGAAATTGCTTTTGATCCCATATTAAAACAATACTCTGTTTTGGTGCGCCTATCATTTAAGTCGCTAGCCCAATCTGCATCTACAAAACCAATTAACAAGAATGGTGTATGTTGCTGATAAAATAACCAAAATTTAGAGTGCCTTTTTTGAAGCAAAGAATTCTCTTGGCTGCAATTAAGTGACTTTCACATGGTTTGTCCATAAACTGAGAGACGACTCCCACAGAGAATGAAATGTCAGGTCTTGTGATAGTTAAATAGAATAAGATGCCAACAAGTTGTCGGAAAAGTGTTGCATCTTCCAAAAATCTTCCTCCATCTTTGAATAACTTCAAGCAAGGGTCTATAGGAGTTGCCATTGTCTTTAACTCCCCCATATGAAAACGATCTAGCAACCTTGTTGCATATTTGGTTTGAGAGACAAAATATCTATCTGACTTTTTAACCTCCAGTCCAAGAAAATAGCTAGCTTCACCCAAACTCTTCATTTCAAAACGAAGAGACAAAGCATCTTGAAGACTAGTTATTTCAGCATCGTCATCACCCGTAATAATCATGTCATCCACGTAGAGAAGAAGCATTGTGCATACTGAGGATGTTTTCTTAACAAATAAACTTGAATATGCATTTAAAGACTTGAAACCACAAAAATCAAGGTATTGAGCAATTTTATCATACCAAGCACGTGGTGCTTGCTTGAGGCCATACAACGCCTTATTGAGTCAGTACACGTGATCAGGAAACACCTTAGATATAAATCCATGTGGCTGCTCCATAAAGATATCACGATCTATCTCTCCATAAAGGAATGCATTCTTTACGTCTAATTGCCACAATTTCCAACCTTGTGTAAGCATCTAATGAAAAAATTATTCGAATAGTTACCATTTTAGCAATAGGACTGAAGATCTCCTCGTAATCGAGACCATATTGCTATGAAAAACCACAAGCAACAAGATGAGTCTTGTACCTATCAATAGTTCCATCAGCCTTCTTCTTTAACTTGTAAACCCATTTGCAAGTAACTGGTGCAACATTCTTTGGTTTCGGAACAAGCTCCCATGTACAGTTCTTATTTAGTGCTGATATTTCCTCCTGCATCGCTTCTTCCCATTTAGAGATACCCTTTGCTTTATTGTAAGACGTAGGCTCATCATCACATGACTCTCCTATAAAAAAAATAGGACACAATATAGCAATCATAATCAGCTAAATAATTAGGTTGCCTTCTTTGTCTAGAGGTCCTCCGAAGCACTGTCCGTGTAGTCACCTCTTGCTAAATATTTTCTTCAGTTGGAGTAATATTGCTCCCCCTTTCACTAGATGCACCATCAGGGAAAGGTGAAAGATTAATTGTGCCTCTATCGATATCAATTTGAGGTGATGAAACTTCATCAAACACCATGTCACGGGAAATAACAAACTGAACCAAAGACTCTAAAATAACTCACATTGGGTTTGTTACGGTATAGTGCTTCAAAAGGAGATGGTTTTGTCCCTAGCCATGAAGGTAAACGATTTATGACATGACAAGCTGATTGAACAGATGCTGCCCACAACTCTCTTGGAAGGTTCTTTGTATGCTACCATGACAAGCACATGGATGTAAGATGTGCCAACTTGCGCTCAACAACTCCATTTTGCTGTGGAGTTTCCAGGCAAGTCATTTGACGCTGAATGCCATGTTCTCTGCAGTAACTGAGGAATTGATCAGACATGTATTCTCCTCTATTGTCGGTGCGTAAACACTTAACTTGCAGCTTGAATTCTTTCTCTACCTGTTCTTTGAACTGTACAAATTTAGAGAAAGCCTCACTTTTTTTTGCCAAGAAGTACACCTAAGTGAACCGAGAAAAGTCGTCCACAAGAATCATTACATAGCGCCCTTGGGTCTAGTTTAGTCCGTTTAGTTTTTGAGACATGGAAATAACAAATTGAACCAAAGACTCTAAAATAACTCATATTGGGTTTGTGACGGTATAATACTTCAAAAGGAGATGGTTCTGTCCCAGGCCATAAAGGTAAACGATTTATGACATGAAAAGCTGATTGAAAAGCTGTTGCCCACAGCTCTCTTGGAAGGTTCTTTGTATGTAACCATGACAAGCACATGAATGTAAGACGTGCCAACTTGCGCTCAGAAACTCCATTTTGCTGTGGAGTTTCTGGGCAAGTCATTTGATGTTGAATGCCATGTTCTCTGCAGTAACTGAGGAATTGATCAGACATGTATTCTCCTCCATTGTTGGTGCGTAAACACTTAATTTGCAGCTTAAATTCTTTCTCTACCTGCTCTTTGAACTGTACAAATTTAGGGAAAGCCCCACTTTTGTTTGCTAAGAAGTACACCCAAGTGAACCGAGAAAAGTCGTCTACAAGAACCATTACATAGCGAAAATCAGAGTAACTAGGTGTATTTGTAGGCCCCATCAGACTAGAATGAACTAGTTGTAATGAAGCAAAGCTCTATTCTTTGAATATGGAAAAGGGAGGCGATGTGATTTTCCATATTGACACCCAGGACAAACTACATCATAGTGAATCTCTTTAAAAAGAGGAACTCCATCAAGAAGCTTCTTTGTGGAGATTTTCTGCAGCAATTGATACCCAACATGGCCTAACCAATTGTGTCAAAGCGTTGCACTATCATTCTGACATGTTTTTTCAACATATGCATCACTTGCAGACAAAACATATAATGATTCTTTGTTTCTCCAAGTAAATAAAACATCAGCTTCTATATGTTTTACATTAGAAAGAATTTGGAAATTTTGGGGACCAAAGAGAACATACCTCCCAGTGTCAGTTATTTGAGAAACTGAGGCAAGATTCTTCTTTATGCCTGGTACATGATAATAAACATCTTTGAGAGAAACTCCACTGTCATTCGCAAGATCTCATTCAAAATGCCCTTCTTTCTCAACAGGATATAAGGAATTATTAGCTGTCACAATGGTTTTTCTTCCCACAATGTGGACAAACGTCTGACAATAAAGAATCACTTCCGATTGCATGATGAGAACAACCAGAGTCAACAATCCATTCGTTGTTGTAGTCCATGGAGGCATTAACATCTGTCTATGCAGAGGTCACAATAATTGATTTATCAGTGGCTGTAATAGACAAACAATGCTCTCATTTGGACTGTTCAGCCTTATCTTGTTCATGAGCAACATTTGCACTTGTTTCCATAAGTTTGACACGACAGTTGGCTTTAATATGACCAGATCTTCAGCATCTATTACACACAAATCTTGCATGACAATCACACTTCATGTGCCCTAGTTGTCCGCACCGAAAACATCCTTTTGAATTTCCTCTAAATTTCCCTTCATTGTTGGACTGCTCCATGTCACCAAAACCATGCTTGGAGAAGTTCTTATTCCCTTGGTCCTTTGTGTACAGAGCATCCTCCACTTGAGAGAGAGATTGCTTATATTGCTAGTCATTTGTTTTCACCAAGGCTTCTTGATTAGAAAGAAGATTCTCTAACTCAATAATTGAAGGTTGTGTTGCCCACCCTTGTATAGAAGAAACAAAGGGCATAAAATCTTTTCGTAGTCCACGAATGAGATAACAATGCAACTGAGCATCACTTACGGGTTCCTCTGTATCTAGTTCTGAAATTTTAGCACACAAGGTTTTGACTTTCAAAAAATATTCTGGAATTGAAAGAGTACCTTGAGTCATTCCAGCAAGTTCATTCTCCAAGTACTACAACCGCATTGTATTCTTTTGTGTGAACAACCGTTCAAGTGTCTCCCACACTTGTTTTGGCGACGAGACATCACGAACATGTGCGATGAAGTCTTGGCTAATCAAAGTTCGTAAAGCAAACAAGGCTTTGCCGCACTTAATCTTCCACTTTCGCCATAAGTCAGCATTTTGGGGTGTATCTTCTGGAATTACAGCATCATCACCAGAGATAAGATCCCACAAGTCCTGCCCTTGTAGATAAGCTTCCATGTATAACTTCCAGTAATTATAGTTGTTACCAACAAGCTTATCTACAGAAACATTGCTTCCACCATTCATCTTCCCTGAGCAATAAAATCAAACACATGGTAGGCAACTAAGCTCTGATACCATGTAAGAAATATAGAGATTGGAAGCAACCAAAAATAAAATAGAGATGATGTTGAAGCTGAATTTTTATTACTCAATGAAGAACTAAAGCAAAACTAGGATTACACAGATTATAAATACTAAAAGTTTTCGTAAAAGATCTCAACCAACACCAACGTGTCTATGAGATTATTAGCCTAAATAAAAGGAAGACAATTAGTATTCCTAAATAAATGGAATACTTAAAACAAACTAGACTTATTCAACAAAGACTAATTCAACAGCTTCTAACTTCCAAGATATGACAGCTGTAAGTTTCACTAATTTGCAACAAACTGACCATCTCAAGCGTCTGTAGTAAACTACTTGGAGAAGTGCCAGAGACAGTAGCAAAATCCATTTGAATCCCATCTGCATATATCCCCAAGCCAAATAAAATTAGAAATGTATACTCTATGCAGCACATTTGATGGTACGAAGGTACATTTGACCAAAAGAGTGTGTGTGCATGTGCGTGTGCGAGAGAGAGAGAGAATCATTTACCAGTTTTCTCTCTTCCATTTCTGGCTCAATAGCCCATGAAATAAACTCCGTAACATCTTTTGCCATCTGTGCCAACAAAACAAGTGAAGAATATGATTTCCAGGCCTTTGTAAAGGGGAAAAAAAAGGTAAAACACAACAAAGAATCACCTGTGACTCCGTTGTTGGGGTACCATCTTCATACTCAACAACACCATCATTGAGCATTTTAGGCATAGCAATTGCTCCACCAAGAAAGTAAGGATTATTGTACAACCCTCCTCGAATCTAAAAATGTAATTTATGCTTGGTAGACAATAATAAATTTTCACACAAAGTAACAAACAAAAAGTATAGTCAACCCTAATTATGGTTATGAACTTGGAACAAATTTACTTATTTTGTACCCTCAGGTGATGATATGGATACAAAGAGGGGCCATCTCTAATTTTGAAGGGAAAAAAAAAGATAACATAAAGGAACAACCAATTAATTGCAATGTGACATATCAACATAATAAAATTTTCCATGTTTCTTTAAGCGTCTTGCCAAAATTAATCTGGGAAGAAGCAATTACCGAAACACCAGTGAGAGGATCACGGTAGCCAGTCAAAAGGGCGAACACATAGTTCTGATCGTTATGTCGGCCTTGAGAGAACATAGAGTTAGGAAATTGAGGGATAATGCTTTTTATTTAGGTTTTATAGTGAATAAAGAAGACTACAATTACCTTGGTGATAAGACTCGGATCTGGAGGATAGCTCCTCCATTAGCAAACCTGGCAGCTTGTTCATTAGGGTAAGGCGGAGGAAAACAGTCATTCAGCTCACCAGGCACCCTTGTCATTAGGCCCATCAACTGCTTCAATCTAAGTAGCCAGCACCTTTGCTTCTTCCTCAGTGTATGCCACACCGACAAGGTCACAAAAAGCGATAAATGACATTGAATGGCATTGTGCACAAACTTGTTGGTAAACCTGGTGACCCCGACGAATTCTGCAACAAGTGGTTTCCATTCTTTTATAGGTAGCAGAGACAAACAAGCATTTTCATTTATGGAAAAATCACATACATGTAATAAAATTGTGTATCCACCAAAAAATAAAACCTGATTTATAGGTGGAAAAACAAAAGAATAAGCCAATTGCATCCAATTCGGGCCCTGAATTCTTGTTGTCGATTAGAGTAACCAATTAAGAAGTGGGCAGAGCAGTTGTGAAGCTTTTTCTTTCTTTGGGTCTCAAATTATTAAATGTTAGAGCAAGGGGAGTGACATCAGGGGTGGCAATCTCATAACTGCCTGTAACTGTCAAAATGCTATCTCAAATTCAAAATTTTCACTACAACGGAGGTGAGATCAAAGGTTGAAAAATGACATCAATACTCTTGGGGTGACAATTTTTCAAACTCTGGAGAGAGAAAGAGAGAGGTTACAAATGGATTTAATTATATTTTTAATAAACTATACCCGTTAAAATATATTAAAATATTTTGACAGCAATAAAAAACTTAAAATATTAAAATGACACCCCATTTTAACACCTGCCATTGGAGTATATTTATAATATAGGGATGTCAAAACATTGTTCAAATTTGCAAATGAGAGATTTGGCACCCCAAAATGGTAACTCCCTTTAGAGTTGTTCTTATGTGCACACATTATCACAACCATAGTGTTCCATATTCCCTCTCACACCAGATTTTTTTTTAGAACTGAGCTAAGAAGTATAGACACGGACATGAGACACGGATACGACACGACATGTACACATCGATTCAACATTTTTCAAAAAAGTAGGACACGGATTCATTGGGGATATGCTATAAAAAATTATATTTTATATATAATATTATATAATTTATTGCAAATATAGTGTTAATGATATACAATTTATAAAATAAAATCAGTATTTTATGATAAGAAAACCTAATGTCTAGTCATATGTGGAAATTTTTAGACTAAAACATTCTCATTATAGTCAATAATCATTTTTTTTTTGGTAGACAATGTATACCTAATATATAATTTAAATAATTGATCTCATTTTCTCAATTCCTCTTTTTAAAACTTTTATACATTTTTTATTTTTATTATTATATTTGAAGTACAACTTTAATATGTCTAGTATTAGTAATTATATGTTCTCAAATTTTTAAACTTTGTTAATCACATTTCAACAAACGTCTATTTTTTAGTAGTAGATATGTTCTAAAAAAGTATCGGACACGTCACCAAAGAAGTGTCCAAAATTAAAAATTTATTATTTAATTATAGACTCGGATAAAAGAGTATCGGACACGTGTTTGAGAGAGTCCAAAGAGTGTCGGTGTTCGACACAGATACGTCACGTTGTTGAGAGTATCCGTGCTTCATAGGAATTGAGTTATATGTTTGATGACAACAATTACTCTACTTACGAAGGATGGTCATATGAACTGAGAATGCCTTTGTAAGGCCAAGGATAGTCAGGGGCCTTTAGCCCCTGCTCTGCCTCATCAGAATAAGCGTTTGTTGCACAGTTCAAAAGCTCGGCTACCCCTGCACCAAATAGTGCAAATGCTCTTAAGGATTTCATGCTAGCAGATCCAAATCCATCTTGATCATGCTTTGAAACAATGAATGCCAAAGATGGCGAGTCCTAGAAATCATGTACAGGCATGTCAAAGACAATGAAGAAACATTAACCTGAGCACTACATAAATATTGTGTTCAAGAAAAAATTGATAAATACTGTGTCAGAACATTAACAATCAAGAAATTCTATCCCTATCCATGTTTTCTTTCTCCCATTTTTTATCCTTCACTTCAAAGTTTCACCAATTTGCAATAAAAAAAAAATCATGCAACTGCAATATACCAATATTTAAGGATCACACAACTTGATTAATGTTAATCTCTCAACCACCTTAATGAACATCTAATCGCTCCACTTTTCTCTTTTAATTACTCAATTGAATGGATACCTTGAAATTGGAGACCTTGAGGGGGTCACCAAATGCTGGGAGCTTAACATTGTCTCTTTGTCGCCTGACTCTGGCAACAAATCGATTACTCCTTCCAAATCTTGAGGTGAAATAAATATTCCATTTAAACACAAATAAGTTGAATGTACATGGATTATTGTAGCTCATTATTTATTTGATCCAAAACTTATGAACGTGAAGATTTTTCTTCATACTGTTGATTCCAATCTTCCCAAACCTGTGTATAATTCATCAAATGTAAAGAAAATTAAAAGTTAGAACCAAACGCAAATGCTGATATTAGAGAGAATGATTCTAAAGAGTAGAAATCCAATAAAGTAAATAAAATAAAGAAATATAGTTACATAGAGAGAGCGAGAGAGAGAGGGCTTACTCATGATTCTGTGAGAATCTGTTTAACAGAGAGTGAGAGAATGCAACGTCTAGGAGAGCTACTGGGAGCTCCTTCCTATGTAAAGTTTTGATGCAATTCAGAACACTCCATACTGTCACAGAGAGAGAGAGAGAGAGAAAGAGAGAGAGAGAGAGAGACGATGCGTGTAGTTCCAGAACGACGTGGAAAATGGGAATGAACAGTGTAGAATTAGCCGAATTTCATAGATAACTAATGCTGCATGGACTTAAAAAGTAGACTTAAAAGTTAAAACCAAACACAAATGTTGATATTAGAGAGAATGACTCTAAAGAGTAGAAATCCAATAAAGTAAATAAAATAAAGAAATATAATTACATAGAGAGAGCGAGAGAGAGAGAGGGCTTACTCATGATTCTGTGAGAATCTATTTAACAGAGAGTGAGAGAATGCAACGTCCAGGAGAGCTACTGGGAGCTCCTTCCTATGTAAAGTTTTGATGCAGTTCAGAACACTCCATACTGTCACAGAGAGAGAGAGAGACGATGCGTGTAGTTCTAGAACGACGTGGAAAATGGGAATGAACAGTGTAGAATTAGCCGAATTTCATAGATAACAAATGTTGCATAGACTTAAAAAGTAAACTTAAAAGTTAGACTTGATAATCTCAACTATTAATTTTACTGTGGGTCCTAGTATTTAATGGGACCCACTATCTATTCAATGGTTGAATTTATTAAGTCTAATTTTTAAGTCCGTCTAGCATTACTCTTCATAGATTCTGTGCTGATGAATATGAGTGTTCAACCTACCATACGGATAGGAAATATAGTCTTCCTACCTGATACTTTGCGGAAGAATTTTTTTTTACCCTACTCTGTCCAATTAGGTGTGATATTCCTACCCGACTTCCTACCTAATTAATCGGGTAGGAAGTCGGGTAAACACTTTTGTAACTATTAATTTTTGAATCATTTTAACAATTCAATTAAATAACAAGCACCAATTTAATAACACAATAAATCAATAACACTAAAATCTAAAATAACTACAACAACAATTACAATAAAATACAAGAAAGTATGAACATCAATCCATCATAATTATTACACAAATACAATAATAATTATTTTAAGTTTAAATCATATTAAATACATTAAAATCATAACTGCTCTAATAGATCACCAGTTCACCACAAATCATGTAACTTATACAAAAAACAAGTCCATGTTTTAGCAACTCAAATATTCACAACAATAACAATGTTATAATATAAATTATACCACACAAATATCTTATAATTACTAAAAAAAAAAAAAAATTAAATATATTTTTTGCAGGTAGAGTGGGGTAGGAATGCGACAATTGATGGACATTCCACATTCTTACCCGATTTAATCGAAAAACTAAAAATTCTTCTGCATTCTTATCCGATTTTTGTGACTAGTCATTCAGTAGGGTAAAATTGAGTAGAATAGAAAATTACGACCAATCGTAAATTTGAACACTCTTACTGATGAACCTCCATTGGATTAGATCCTTCCACGTTTTGGAATCATATAGCCCTCAGAATTCAGGCCGACTTGTTTTAACCATATGTCCCAATCCAGATCATTGTGGTTGTAGATTCTAATCGTTCGAGCCCTATCCATCTTTTGAATAAGGAAACCAAAGGAAATATGAGGATCATGGAATCCAAACGAGATTAAAATTTTTTTTTTTGGGATATAGAATAATTTTATTATAAAAGAAAGGATAAATTCTATTTTGTTCTGTAAAATACACAAAAGTTCTCAGTTTGTCTCTTCGAATGATTAATTTTTTCACATTTCTCCCTTAAAGAAATAAAAGTATTGTAATGTAGTCCACCGTCTCATTTCTATTTAGTTGTTCATCTGTTTTGTGATTTTTGATTAGTTGATTTAATACAAAACAGATAGAAAAAGGATGAAAACTCATTATATAACAAATAAATTAAATATAAAAACTCATAAAAATGATATGTGTAATATCACCACTTTAGTTCCGAATCAAATAATATCACCACTCTTGTTGGAACTCTATTTATATTTGACCTCTCTATCTCCGCACGGGTTTATACAGGTACTTCTATATACATCTATCGTTCAATATGTATTTTGTCCATTCATGGTCCAAACGGGATGAGTTTGTAAGAATACTCATTTTTTTCTGGTCCACTGTCATCCCTAATTATAGTGACAAAAATCTTATACACTAAAACGACTCTTTTTTATGTTGTACTGATAATAAGGTAATTGATGTGCTTATAAAAAAAAATTATCATTTGAATGTGATTAGTTGGATCAGTAGATCCCACAAAAAAAAAATAGATTCTACTCATCTAACCATCTATATCGTTTTAATAAATTTTTGACGAAGATAACAATACTCTATAATAATTTTTTTGCTAATGTGCGGTGCATCCTAAGCTGCACTTTTCTTAGCCTACCCGATCCATAGGATTGCACGCACCGGATATGCCCGACCCGTTTCAGGCCTTAGCCCCTCCCAAGTCCCAGGGTAAAGATCCTCTGCGGTAACCCATTTACTGCATGATATACGGTTAAATTGAACGGTGGCGTTTTAGGTATTTTTTGTATTTTTTTTTTATTTTTCCTCACCAAAAACAACATCATTTTTTGCCCAATAAATCACCTTCAGTCCCCTTCCTACGCATGCTTTCTGTCCTCCTCTCTCTATATCTCTCTCCAATTACTGATCTTCTTCTTTCCCTTGTCTACTACGAAACCCGTCAATGCACTGAGAAGATCACATCCCCCCCTCCTCCAATCCACAGTCTCGTCGAGGGAGCTTCCAGGTCTCTCTATAGTGACTTCATTGATTATCTACATTAATAAGGATTTGTGGTTTTTTCAGAATCTATAGGATCAACTACTTCCCTTTTCCCTTAGATCTCTGTAATCCAATTCTAGCATGCTTACATGCATTTCTGTCTATTCCTTTTATATTTCTGTTCCTGATGAAAATGACGACACAAGTCGTAGACTCTTCCTTCCCACCCTCCACCTGTTTGAGAAAATGCCGGAAAGAACTCTTTTTCAAATTTTTGTGGATTGAACTCTTAAATTTTTTTAATTGAAATTTGGCTAAACTCTCTTTCAGATTTTTGTTCTATTGAATGGGCTGAACTCTCAAATTTGGTACATTGAAATTTGGCTTCAATTTCAAATAGAGATGTGGATTGAACTCTCTTTCTTGTTCTGCTGTGAATCAAAATTTGTCTTCGATTTTTGCTGCGGTGAATAAAAATTAAATTCAATAGAATATTTTGCTTCTGTGAATCAAAAATTGAATTCAATACTATGAATCGAATTTTTTTTTAGTCGAAATGAATATGAGTTGTGATGACAATTCATAATGAATATTTTGCTGTTGTCCTTTTCTGTTTGCTGCAACCTCATAAAAATAAAAGTAAGATTGCACTTATGAAGGATCTAGCTTTGCTGCTCATTCAGGCTTGTACTTTGGTATCTTTCAGTTCTAAGTTTTGCTGCATCTCTATGAGCCGTGAAATATCCCCCTTAAACACACATAAAAGAGCATAGAGAAGATACCCAACAAGAAGTGAACAAATGCAGATAGAATCAAAATAAGCTATTGTGCCCTCCAAGCTTGATGATTTTGCCTTGACACTTAGACATTTTTGTTATATAATATGCCTAATGAGTATGTCATCTAGGACTGTGATGTTGCTGCTGAGAGCTGAGCTGTGAGCAATGGAGCAGGAGCTAAGCTATGGGGGTATAGAGCACAGTAAAGAGAAGCTCACTCAGCAGCTGGAGGAATAGCAGGTCCAGGTTTTGGGTTCTGTCTGCAGGCAGTCTATGGTGTGTTAGGCCATGGGCTGTTTTGTTGGCTGGGCAGCTGGACTGTGCTTGATAAATTTCTGGTTTTAATCCTTTTGAAGGATTAAAGCCAACTCTTTGTAATTAGAATTTTTGAATTCATTTGCTTCTTGCAATTCATTGTTTCATGGAATAAAATTTCTTTTTCTAAAAAAACAAAAAAGAATATATTGTTTGTGCTGAATGAATTAAAGGGCTGCTGCAATTTCTGAATTTCCAAATTAACCATACATATCAAAATTCCAATGTTAATTACTATAACAATCAAACTCTGGCACTAAACAATAGCATTTTCTCACCTAGACAAAGTACAAATTTCCTAAGGCAACTAATTTGGAAAATAGAATCCACACAAAAGCCTGCTAAGCTCCTCATCATCCCTCACTGCAAGCTGAATGTGTCTTGGCACTATGCGATTCTTCTTGTTATCCCTTGCTGCATTCCCAGCCAACTCCAATACCTGTATTCAATAATCACCATCATCAAATCACAAGCCCAAAAACCCAAAAAAAAACCCTCATTTCTATGCATCCAGTTCCATATATCTCCATAGGTGACGAAAATATAATCCAGTCCCATATGCATACAACATCAAAATAATAAAATGAAACAAATCACCAAATATTACCTTAACATTTGAGTGCAAGAATGTAACACATAAAGCATTTAGATCAAACTAAGCACTACATAGTAAGATGCTATCTGCTAGCATATGATCATGTCAAAGATGTAAATGTAGGTTCGCCAAATGAATCTCTGCTAAGGATCCCAAATACTATATCCTTAAAAAATGGTGCCCAAGACTTCCTTTTTTGGTTCAGGTATCCGTGTATTATCTGGTGGATTACATATATGTTGGAAGATGATATCAAAAAAGGTGAGAATGATGGATGCATATTCCCAATGATAACTACCTTGTATCAGTCTAATTCCTTCAACAGCAACAATTAACAGTTACTGAGACAGGCTGGGCAAGGCAAGAAAACCAAACCAAAAGGAACTGTCAGTGATACCCTTGAATTTTTTTGTTTTGAAAATATAAATGTAAAGAGCATCTTGCAGCTGCAATGGCCAGACAACATCAAATCAAAAGAGAAATAAAATTTCTTATAAATAAAATCAACATGAAGCAAACAAAAATTATAGAAAAATATAAATCCAACCAAAACATAGTCATAACTAAAAACAGGCTGCCTATTTTGTGGTCATGCAAGTAGCACACTTTCAGAATGACGGCAAGCATAAGGCACCTGCATTTTTCTTGGAAGGAAAATCTCAGGAAGATCTTTAGTGGAACTTACCTCTGTTACAACATCACGGGGAGGATGCTTAAAAATAATGTGTCCGAATTTGAGTTAATTGTATGCATGGTAATAGTTACTCAAGTGTTTCCAAATTTTGCTAAACAATACATTATACAAGACACTCAAGCAAAATGAAAAGGTTTCAATTAACAAAATCTGTGAGTTCAGTCCACAAAAATCTGAAAGAGAGTTCTTTTTGGCATGTTCTAAAATAGGGGGAGGGTGGGGAGGTTCTGTCGAAAAAAAAAAAAAGACAGAGGAGCCAATTTAACGGGAAATATGAATTGAGAGAGCGATCGAATGAACAATTTGAATTTAAATTTGACCCATCTAAATGACAATTCTTAACACAGAGACAACGAAGGAACATACCTTGCCTGTAGTCGGAGTTGCCTGAGGTCGTCGGAGTTGCCTGAAGTCGCTCAGATCTGCTGCTTGCACCTCGCAAGGTTTTGTTGTTGAAGTCTAACGAAGAAGGACGGAACTCTCTTTAATGACTGAACTCTCTTCTAACGAAGAAGGAGGATTTCAGATCTAGTTTTTACCTGAGCTAAAAACGACGTCGTTTATGATAAGAAAGAGTAAAAATAAAAAAAGAAAAAATCCTGAAACGCAGCCGTTTCATTAAACCGCATAACATGCGGTAAGCTCCCAACCGCAGACGAGCCATACCCCAAGTCGCAACTTGTGCCATTTCATATTTCATTTCCACGTTCTTAACATTTAGCTGAAGAAAATTATAGAGAGAGAAAGAAATTCTTGAATCCCAAAAAGTGAGGGCCGACCTGAGATCAAACAAAACCCTAGGCGCACAACCATGTGGAGAAGACTCTCTACACAGCTCCGAACCCTTGCACCCGCCCGATCTGTTTACAGACCTCATCGATTCATCACCGGCACCGTCACATCTTCTCCGTCACCGGCTACTTCATCACTCCGGCACGTTGTTACTATTTTTTCTCGCCGCTTTAGTTCCGAATCAGGTAATATTACCACTCTTGTTGGAACTCTAATTCGATTTAGATCTTGGAAAAAAGACGCATATGTACACAAACGAGACCTATAAACTAGCTAATCAGATGTATTTGCATTTTTGTATGTATAGTGACATCTATGAATTTGTTTGCATATTTGTTAGGAGAAAATGTTGTCTCGAAGAAGAAAGTTGAGGATGTAATGCCTATTGCGACTGGACACGAGCGTGAGGAGCTTGAAGCTGAGGTTGAAGTGAGTTTTCTAATAATGGAGTTCATCTGGAAAAAATGTTCGCATTGGTACTGTTTGTGATCGAGAGTAATATTGGTTTCTATTTGCTTGTTTGTGATCAGGGGCGGAACATTTTGGATATTGACCATCCTGTAGGTCCTTTTGGTACAAAGGTCAGTATGCTTGCAGTGCCTTTGGAGGAACTGTTTAATTATAAATAGCTATTCTTTTGCACTGCACAATGGATTTGGTCTTTGATTGTTATAGATATATTTTTTCCTTTGAATGTTTTCTGCCATGTGGCATATGATCTGGTGCATTGAATTTTAGGAGAAATTTCAAATGAATACGTTACTTTTGAAGAGCTTACTGAGCTGGTTTGACTTTATATATCGTACATCAACTCTGGGTTGAGTAATGTGCTGGGAATGGGAATACACACTTGTTAACATCTCAGTAACATTCTGCATGTAATTGCTTGGCTATCAACATTATGCTCCTGTCTAATGTGATACTAGGCTACTTCACAAGGGAAATTGTGAATCTTCACCAACATCAATGTGTAGCAAAAAAAAAAAATTGGAAATTTTCACTATCAATGTAAAATGATCATGATAAATTTCCATTATGCATGTTTTATGTCTCGTTAATGGAAATTGTAATGTGAATTTCTGTTTATGTTGAACTTGATGTGAATTTTAGTTCATTGATATCCTTGAGACATATTTCTGGTGTATTGTCTTGCTTTGCACTTTGATTCATTGACATGGACAAGG